CTAAAGACTTCTCCAAGTTCAACATGGAACAGCTAGCTGGATCATTGATGACTCATGAACTTCACTTGAGTTCCAACTCTGAGAGTTCCAAGAACAAGAGTCTTGCTCTTAAGGCTCAAGACTCAGAGGAATTAGATATTGATGAGGAAGAGATAACAATGCTAGTAAGAAGATTTACAAGGATGATGAACAACAAGAATTTCGACAGGAAAAAGAAGTACACAAGTTCCAGGAACACAACTTGTTTCAAGTGTGGGTCTAAAGATCATTTCATTAAGGATTGTCCAGCACCGGATGGTGATAAAGGAAAGACAAAAGGCAAGGAGAAATCCAAGGAGTCAAGAGTCTATAAACCTTACTTCACCAAAGACAATGTGAAGAAAGCCATGCTAGCTGCCTGGGGAGATTCAGTTTCAGAGGAAGAAGAGGACCAACCATTAGAGAAAACTGCCCATTTGTGTTTGATGGCAAAAACAGATGAAAAAGCAAAACTGAAGGAGCTAGAATTTGAGGTATGGCTTTCTCAAAAAGACCTAAGACATTTCTCTAAAGAAAACTTGATATATGCTGTTTTTGAAATTCAAGAAGACTTGAAAGAATTACATAGAGCCAAACAACAAAGTGATGAAGCTTTGGTAACTTTTAAAGAAAACAGTGAGTGGGTTGACAATATGAAATTTAACATTCAATACATGGTCTTTAGTCTGTTTGATGACAATAATTATTTGAAAGAAACTGTAGACAGGTTGAAACATGATAATATAATGTTAAATGTGGAATTGTCCTTAATGAAACTCTGTCTTGATGCTCCTAATTCTGAAGTTCCTCCACTTGCTCAATATCCAAATTTTGAAAAACTAAAATCTGATTTGGAAGATCTAAGATCTGATAAGGCACGACTTGAAAGGAACTTGAGAAATCTAGGAAAGGCAAACAACCTATAAAGTATAGAGTTCCAGATTGGATCACCAAAGCTCAAACCAAAGGAACAGAAGGTTTGGGTTTCAAAAAGAAGTTCCAAAAGGAAAAGAAGTATGTTGACCTGCCTAGTAGTATTGTTTGTTATTTCTGTGGCAATACAGGATATAAACAGGTTAAGTGTCCTAAGAAATAAAAGAGTACACCGAAAAATGAAAAACATGTAGAACAAATCTGGATCAAGAAGAATAAACTTGCTGCTGTTACACAGGAACCCAAAAAAACCTGGGTTCCTAACACTAATGTTTGATTTCTCTTGCAGGTTCTAGTGAGGGGGAACAACACTTGGTACCTCGACAGTGGCTATTCTAAGCACATGACTGGAGACAAATCTAGATTTCTCTCACTAGATGCCTACTATGGGGGAACTGTGACCTTTGGTGATAAAATGAAAGGAAATATAGTTGCTATTGGCAAGGTAGGAAGGTTAAGTTCCCATGCTATTGATAATGTATTTTTGTTCGAGGGTCTTAAACACAACTTGGCAAGTATTTCACAATTCTGTGACAAAGGTAACTCTGTAAGCTTTACTTCCAATAAATGCATAATCATTCACAATGACACTGAGAACATTATTTTAGAAGGAACTCGTAAAGGGAACACATATGTTGTTGATCTTAACGAGGTTCCTAAAAGCAGTTTAACATGTCTCAGTGTTATTGAGGATGATCCTCTATTATGGCACAAGAGATTTGGCCATGCAAGCTTTACTTTGCTAGATAAGCTTAGATCTAAGGAACTTGTGGAAGGACTTCCTTGCATTAAGTTCCTGTATGACAAAGCGTGTGATGCTTGTTTTAGAGGAAAGCAGACTCAAATTTCTTTCAAGTCCAAGAAAGTGGTAAGTAACAAAAGACCCTTAGAACTTATTCATATGGATCTATGTGGTCCTATGAGAATCCAAAGTAGAAGTGGTAAGAGATATGTAACGGTAATTATTGATGATTTTTCAAGGTTTACTTGGGTTTTCTTTCTTGTTAGCAAAGATGAAACATTTGATGAATGTGTAGCTTTTGTAAGGAAACAACAGAGAAGCACAGGTAATCCATTGGTTCATCTCAGATCAGATCATGGAACAGAATTTGAAAACTCAAGGTTTGATAAATTTTTCACCGAGAATGGAATAGATCAAAACTTCTCTGCACCAAGGACTCCACAACAGAATGGAGTTGTAGAATGCAAGAATAGAAGCCTTGAAGACATGGAAAGAACAATGTTGATATCTAGTTGACTACCTAGGAACTTCTGGGCAGAAGCAGTGAACACAGCATGCTATATTCTTAATAGAGTATCTGTTAGAGCCATCACCAACAAAACACCTTTTGAGCTAACAAAGGGAGAAAGCCTAATATTTCTTACTTTAGATCTTTTGGCTGTAGATGTTTTGTTCATAACAATGGTAAAAGGAACTTGGGAAAGTTTGATGAGCGTAGTGATGAGGCAGTATTCTTAGGTTATGCCTCAAATAGTAAAGCCTATAGTGTTTATAATAAGAGAACAATGTGTGTTGAGGAATCTATACATATTATATTTGATGAAACTGAATAGTTAAATGATGTATAGGATTGTCATGATGATTTTAAAATTGGACTTGTACGCAAGCCAAATCCAGATAAGGAATAAACATCATTGCAGAAGCATCAAGTTTAAAATGTAGAAGAAACGAATCCAAAAGCAAATGTAGAACCTGAAATGGAGAATGCATCAGGATCTCCACCTCAAGAACAAAATCAAGATCAGATTAAGGAGTATCCTGTTGAAGTTCCAACTGAGACTCAAGACCAAGTTCCTACAAAAGAACTAGTCACCAATAATAAGGAAAGGTTGTATCCAGTCAAGGAATTTACACCAAAGCGATGGAAATATCAAAAATCACATCCTGTGGATACAATCACGAGTGATATTACAAAAGGAACTCAAACTAGATCTCAGCATAGAAACTTTTGTGCATTATATGCATTCCTCTCTTCTATGGAACCTAAGAACTATGTTGAAGCTTTAACTAATGCAGACTAGATTAATGCTATGCAAGCTGAATTAAATGAGTTTGAAAGAAATAAAGTCTGGCATCTGGAACCTAGACCCAAGGATAAGAAGACTATAAGTCTAAATTGGGTGTTTAGGAACAAGCTAGATGAGCATGGTATTTTTCAGGCACAAAGCAAGAATTTTTGTTCAGGGTTTCAATCAACAAGAAGGAATAGACTATGAAGAAACATTTACGCCAGTGGCCAAGTTAGAGGCTATTCTTTTACTTATTGCTTTTGCTGCTTATATGGGATTCACGTTGTTCCAGATGGATGCTAAATGTGCATTTCTAAATGGATTTTTAAATGAAGAAGTCCATGTGGAACAACCTCATGGATTTGAAAATCCAAAGTTCCCAAACCAGACCATGTCTATAAGCTTAACAAAGCTCTTTATGGGCTGAAGCAAGCTCCTAGAGCATGTTATGAAAGATTGTCTAAGTTCCTACTGCAAAATGGTTTTAAGCGTGGTAAAATAGATAAAACTTTGTTTTTAAAATCAAATGGAACTCACATATTAGTTTTACAAATTTATGTTGATGATATTTTATTTGGTGCAACTAATGAATCTTTGTGCAAGTATTTTGCTGACCTTATGAGTGGAGAATTTGAAATGAGCATGATGGGAGAATTAAACTTCTTCCTCGGATAGCAAATCAAGCAAACTGAAGAAGGAATCATGATCCATCAACAAAAATATATCAAGAAACTGATCAATAAGTACAAGCTAGATAATGCTAAGACTAATAACACTCCAATGGGTATAGCAACCAGATTAGATGAAGATCCAACTGGAACTTATGTTGATCAATCTATGTATAAAGGTATGATAGGTTCTTTACTTTATCTAACAGGTAGTAGACCTGACATATATTTTAGTGTAGGTTTGTGTGCCAGGTTCCAAGCAAACCCAAAAGAGTCTCACTTGAATGCAATAAAGAGAATCCTTAGATACCTGAAAGGAACTGATGATTTGAGTCTCTTTTATCCTAGAAGTGAATTCTTTGATTTAAATGGCTTTACTGATGCTGACTATGCAGGTGATTTGGTCAATAGAAAAAGCACTTCAAGTATGGTACAGTTTTTAGGACCTTGTTTAGTTTCTTGGGGTTCCAAGAAGCAAAACACAGTTGCAATGTCTACAGCTGAGGCTGAGTACATGGCAGCAGCAACATGTTGTTCACAAGTACTTTGGATAAAGCAACAGGTTAGATATTTTGGTATTATTTTTGAATGTGTGCCTATTTACTGTGATAATACCAGTGCTATATGTATTTCTAAGGATCTAGTTCAACACTTAAAGGTAAAACATATCCACATTAGGCATCACTTTTTAAAAGATAATGTGGAGCAAGGGAATATTAAGTTAGAATTTTATCATAATGAAAATCAAATTGCAGATATTCTAACCAAGCCCTTGGGCAGAGAATGATTTGAGAAATTGAGATTGGAACTTAGGATGATCAAGCTGAATTGATTGCTTCTGAAGTTCCAAGATATGGCAAAGTAAAAAATAATGTAAATAGAGCAAAAAGAGCATTTAGCACAATCTTGGTGTGCTAAACATAGTTGAAGTGTCACCGTTATTAATTACTAGAGGTAAGTTCATTAAAACTCTTAACTTTTTAAGTTATTAATTAAGTACATTGCACATGTGTAGAAAGCGTGTTCCAATTGTGTTGTTTTTTTTTTCAAAAAAGTTTTTTTTTTTTTGGAAAATAAGATTTTATTACCAAAGGGAGAAAGTTACAACTTACAAAAGCTAAGTTATAACGACCACCAGAACACCACAAGACCTGAAAAAACAGGCCAACCCTAAAACCGGTTCTAGATCCAAACCTAGCCACCTTCTAGGAAGGGTTCTAGGAAGGGCCTAGAACAGCTGGACTCAGATTTCCAACCACCTTCTAGGAAGGGTTCTGGAAACCAAGACCAGACAACAACACAAGCAAAAAACAACAAAGCCAAACACCCAAAAATCACCAAAAACAACAATCAGAAGTAGACATGCCTACAAACTGACCAGTAAAACCAACAAAAAACAAAAAAACGAGCAGCATCAAAAGCACCAGGGTGAGGCCACCAGCAACCAGCAGCAGACCAAACCCTTGTCTGCTAGACAGCAGCACAAAACAACAACTTAGCACCATCAGAACAACAGTGCAGCAAAAGCTTTTATGCGTCCGGCCCATGATTGGTGTATGGCCGTTTTAAGGCGTATACCCATGCCTATAGGCGTGATAGAAAGATATTGAAAACGAGCTTCACGGGCCTGGGCGAGCGAACAACACTAGCGAGTGACTCACCAACTCGATAGTAGTGCAGACAGCAGTGCAGACACACAGCCAGCATGCAGACCAGCAGGGCAGAAAGGCAGCAATGCAGACAGCAACAAGCAGCAGACAGTAGAGCTAAAGTAGGCAGACAGTCAGTAGACAAACAGCCAGCAGCAAACAGGCAGGCAGACAGCAGAAAGCAGTGCATAACAGTCAGCATACAATAGTGCAGCAAGCAACAGACAACAATGCACAGCAGAGCACAGTAACACAGACAGCAGAGCAAACAGACAGCAGTGCACAGCAAAACAGACAGCAGTGCACAACAAGTAGACAGCAGTATGCATCAAACAGCAGGACATATAGCAGGCAGGTAGAAACAGCAAGAACAGCAGAAGCAACTAGGATTCATAAAGAAACCAGAACGCAAACACTAGAAGCCAGAAACAAGCTCCTAAACGATCAAATATTTGCTTCCCGCCGGGATTCTACAAACTGAATGAAAGACAATATCCCTAACTAGAGCATCAACAGATTTACAACAACCAGTAAAGAGAACTGCATTCCTTTGTATCCAAATACCATAAACTGTTTTAGTGAAGGCCACCTGGATCACTTTGTTTTTCAACCTGGAACTTCTGCAGATTTTCTTCATCCAATCAACCTCATCACTAAACTGCTGAACAGGCTTGGAAACCCGTAAGATACCCAACACCTTGCTCCAAACCTTCCTAGAGAAATCACAATCAAAAAATAAATGCTGAACACTTTCATTGCTATTCAGACACAAGAAACACTTTGGATCACAAGAGATGTGCCATTGAAGCAACCTATCCTTAGTGACAAGCCTATCCCACAAAGCTAGCCACAAGATAAACACACTCTTAGGAGTTGCTAAGTTTTGGCAAATAACTCTCTTCCAAGGAACTTTAGGCACTTGAGGCCTAATAGCAGCATAAAGCTTCTTGATTTTTAACTTGTTGCCTTGTATGAAACCATCCCATCCCCCTTGATCATTCACAACATCTTTACAACTCAAAATCTTCTTCAAGAACTAAGAGCATATAGCAGAGGTAGGGGTGGTCCAACAATCTTTATGCTTGAAGTAGTAGATATGGACCCACTTAACCCAAAGATTATCAGCCTTGTGAGCAATATCCCAAAGTAACTTAGTGACAGCTGCTTTATTCCACTCAAGAAGAGAAAGCAAGTTCCAGCCACCACAGACTTTAGGAAGATAGACATTATTCCAAGCAACTAAAGATTTCTTAGCAGGGGCAGAGGATCCAGTCCAAAGAAAACACCTGAACCTAGCCTCAATCTCTTTCAGAATTTTCTTCGGTAGAATAAAAATTTGAGCCCAATAAGTCTGAATACCAAACAACACACTCTTCACCAATTGAAGCCTCCCAGCATAGGACAAGTGTTTAGCCATCCACCCTTGGATTCTAGCAGTGACCTTCTCCACCAAAGGCCTACATTGAGCAATAGTAAGCTTCTTGGAAGAGAGAGGGACCCCATGATACCTAAAAGGAATGGTACCTTGAGAAACACCAAGAAGCTCCCTCAACTCTTTCTGAATATCAGCAGAGACCCCTCCCAAATAAACCTCACTTTTATCAAGATTGGCAGAAAGCCCAGAAGCACTCGAAAATTTCGAGAAGGCTTAGAAGAGAAGCTTAACAGAAACACTATCAGCTCTAGAAAACATTAGTAAGACATCATCAAACATCATGTGAGTTGGGTTTAGCTTTTCACATCTAGGGTGAAAGTTAAAATCAGGAGTTAACCTAAGCTCATCAAGGCATCTAGAGAGGTATTCCATACCAATAGCAAAGAGAAAGGGAGACATAGGGTCACCTTGTCTTAACCCTTTTTTAGCTTCAAAGGGAGGGGCAGGAACACCATTAATCAGAATAGAGTAAGAGACGGAAGTAAGACAGGTCCAGATCCAACCAACAAATCTCTGAGGGAAACCAAGCTCTTGCATGACGGTGATCGAGAATTCCCATTCAACTGAATCATAAGCTTTCTTCAAATCCACCTTAACCATACACCTAGGAGAGATAAATTTGTGATCATAGCCTTTGATCAGTTCAGTTGCAAGAAGGATATTGTCACCAATGTGCTTGCCTGGAATGAACCCTGCCTGAGCATCATCAATCACCTCACCAATGAAAGCAGCAAGCCTAGCAGTTATGACCTTAGAAATGAGCTTATAGACCACAGTACAACAGGCTATAGGTCTAAAATCCTTAGCATGAGAAGCAGAAAGGATTTTAGGTTCCAGAGTGATAGTTGTACAATTCCACTGCTTAGGCAAAGTCCCTTTAGTTAAAAAATCAATAACACTAGCATAAATATCATCTTTCACAATATGCCAAGCTCTCTTAAAGAAAAAGGAGTTAAAGCCATCAATACCAGGAGCTTTAGTGTTATCAATTCCCTTAAGGGCAACATAAATTTCAGCATGAGAAATAGGCCTAATGAGGAAGCTCTGAGCAGCAAAGCTGAGCTGCTTACCCCTCCTCATAGTGACAAGATCAACAGCAGGGAGCCAAGGAGCCTGAGTCCCTAGAAGAGACTTATAGAAAAAGATAATTTCATGAGAAATAGCATTTGGATCCTTAAGAAACACCTGATTAGAATCAAAGATGGAGTCAATTCTATTCCTTGCCTGTCTAGTCTTCATCATAGAGAAGAAATAGTGAGAATTGCCATCTCCAAGCTTAACCCAATTGATTCTAGATTTTTGCTTGAAGATGCTTTCCTGGAAATCATTCCAATGTTTGACAACCTTAATAGCATCAGATTCTTTAGTATATAAATCCAAATCATCAGGATTCTATGCAATTAAGGTTTGAATTCTAGAAAGCTCAACATTAGCCTGATCAATCTTTTCCTCAATGTTACCAAACTACTTGCTATTAAGGGACTTAATACTAGACTTCACAGAATTAAGCTTCTGCCAAATAGAATTACCAGAACCCCAAGCCTGCGAAACAGTATCAAGGAAATCAGGGTGAAACAGTTTAAAAATCTTAAAGGTCTACCTTTCCCCGCAGGGGCAGAACAAATATCCAAAAGAACAGGACTGTGATCAGATAAAGAAGGAGGAAGATAGACAGTCTCCACATGCCCATGAGAGGCTAACCAAGCTTGGTTACCGAAAACTCTGTCAATTCTAGAGAGAGTTTTAGGGCTAGTATGAGCCTTATTAGACCAAGAGTAGAAGGCCCCTTTGCTTTTGATCTCAGTGAGAACCAAATCATCAACCAGGCTTTGAAAGTCTCTAGTCTCATAATTAGTAACATCAGTACCATGAAGCTTATCTGAGGTATGAAGAACAGAGTTATAGTCACCAACACAAAGCCAAGGAGAATGCTGAATAGAGATTCTTCTAAGTCCCTCCCATAAAGGAAGCCTATCATGAATGGAGTGAAGCCCATAAACAACAGTGAGATGAATCTGAGTAGAGAGGTCCTTAGAAGAAACACTACAATGAATGAACTGTTCATGAACCTTCAAGACATTAACAGTTACTCTATCCGCATTCAAACCAAGCCAAATCCTCCCTTTAGGAGAATAGTCATAATTACACAACCAGAGCCAAGAAGAGCCAAACTTCCTCTGATAAGTGAGGACATTTTTCAATTTGATTTTTATTTCAAGCAAACCAACAACATCAACTGAATGAGAATAAAGCAACCTCTTTACAGAGGCAACTTTGCCAGGGTCATTCAGGCCCCTGACATTCCAAATAGAGTAAATCATGAACCCAGAAGGGGATTAACCTCACCCCCACTTGGATCTATAGTGAAACCACCTGCACCATCCATTTCATTTGCAAATAAAGCAACAAAAGCATTAGAGGTAGAAGCAGGCTGATGAACTCTAGATTGATGGCTTTTTGTTTTCCTTCCTACTATTCTCCACCCCTCATCTGAACTCTGAGAAGTATGAACCTATGGAGTAATAATAGATTGTCCATGAACAGAAACACCAACATCAACAGCAGTAGTAGAAGCAGGGGCATGGTTAGGCTTAGGAACCCAAACCTGCTTTTGCTTAGGAGGACCAGAAGCCGGTTGCTTAGGAGCCTGCCTAGGCATAGGAGGCTTAACAGAGCAATCATGACCAACCCTGTTACACTTAGAACAAAAAGGAGGGGCCCACTCATACACTACCTTGAGCTACAAAAGTTCCTTCGAAGGACTTTCAACCCATACAGAATTAGGCATAGGCTTTGTAACATCAATTTCAATCAGAACTCTAGCAAAAGACACTCTAAGTTGCCTAGTAGTACATTCATCAGCACAAATTGGCACTCCAAGCAAGCTACCAAGGTGGCTAAGAGTGTCAGATCCCCAACAATTAAGTGGGAGATTAGGGAACTTAACCAAAAGAGGAACAGTTCTAAGAATTTCAGCATTAAAATCAAAATTAGGACACCAAGGCTTCACTATTGCAGGCTTTTCAAGGAACATATGAGGACCAGAACAAAGTATAGTATCTTTATCATCACTAGAACATAGATTAACAATAAAGTACCCATCATCATGCCAATAAACATCAGGTTTTTGCATATCATTCCATTGTTGAGCAAAAAAACGAAGAACAGCAGCAATAGTGGGGTAACAGCCAACTACATAGAAGACTAAAGCATTAGCCCATTTTTGATTACCTGCCTCAATTTCAGCTGCCTGTAGCTCAGCAATGAGTTTCCCTTCCTGCACTTTCGGAGCAACAAAGGATAATGCAGCCAACTTTCCTGTAAAAGGAGCAGCTCGACCTTCACCTACATTCTGCTCTAGAATAGGGGAAGAGGCAACTCGATCCTCATTACAGTTACACGAGTTCAGTTCCAGAACAGAGGGAGGAGTAACTCGATCCTCACTATTCTTGTGCACATTCTGCTCCAGAGGGGGTGAGGAATGGCGTAGAGAACTCCTTGGCTCAGCACGATGCCCAGATCCACCATCGTCCAATGGAACAATAAACCAGAAACCCTAGGTACTGTTCCATTGGATTGACTCGACCTAGCAGTAGCTTTAGCAAAGAGGGCAATGGTCTCAGCATCACTCTTGGGAATAGCTCCACAAGTTGGGTGCACTAACGCCGGCGCCGGAGTAACCAATTCATCCACCTCTTGAATCGGACTAGGAATGAAAGAAGTACCTGAGTTTCTCAAATTCTGCAAAATCGAATCAAAGGCTTCATGAGTAGTCTGTTGTCGCGCTACTTGAGGTGTAGAAACAGTCTTCTTCTTCTTAGCCATTGATATCCAGATTTGATGAAGAAAACCAGTCAAAAATGAAAAACCATGGGGAAGAGAGTGAAGAGAGAAAGTCACGTGGTGGCTTGGTTTAATTTAGTGGGGGTAGTTTTTTTTTTTGTAAATTAAATGAATTTGGAAAGAAAAGGATTTTGGCAAATTAATTTTGTTAATTTAAAATTTGAAAAATTAAGTGAATATGTTCAATAAATGACTGAAAAGTGAAAAACCCTTAATTTCGTTCACACTGATTCATTTATTATAAAAGGAATATTCACCCACCTTTACATCATCACTGTCAAATCAAAATTACCCATTGTGAAAAACCTTCTACAAATTTATACCCCTTCAAGATATAACCATGGCTATCATCACTTTAATTAGCTCCTCCGAAAGCTCTCACAACCTCCAAAACCAGGAAAAAGAAGAAGTGTCATCTCTCCCCTTAGTGTCCTACAAAGAAACTCAAGCCAAACCCGATCTACCCTCTCTATCTCAAAACCCTAAACCTGCAGAGTCAAAGGAATTCACTTTTGAATCAGTTCTTTAAAAGTTGAAAGAGTGGAAGGAGGTGAAAGAGAAGAGAAAGAAAGTTGAGGAACACATTCAAGAAGTTGAGGATTTTGTTCAAAAATTGGAGGACTCGGAGGGAGAAAATTCTGAGAAGGAAGAAGATGAAGAGATCATTGATCAAGCTGAGCTTGAATCGCCGGCAGGAAGGTATGTTGTAGGTCATCGCATTGATTTGACTTGGTGTAGAAAAGCTAGGTTCCTGGAATTTCTTGATTTAATTAAGTTCCAAGGTTGGGAATATTTGTTGTCTAAAGCCTCTGATAAATACATATACCCAATTGCTATGACTGAGTTTTGCCAAAATTTTGAAGTAAAATTGGGAGTTATATCTAGTGCAATTGATGGGGTAAAAATTGAGTTCAATGTTGAAACCCTAGGCAAAATTCTGAAAACACCTATTGCTAGATATGAGACCTACATCAAAGGGAAGGCCAGTGTAAAAGTTGGAAAGTGTTTGAGAGGTGACATAGTTGATGCTCTAGGAGGAAAAAGGGGGAAGAACATTATGAGTCACAATGACTTAAGCCCATTGAACAAGTTGTTGTTCAATTTAGTAAAGAAAACCATTATGCCTCGAACATCGAAGAAAGGGGAAGCATGTCTAATGGACATAGCTTCTATTTTTTGTCTATCGAAGAAAATAAAGGTAAATTTTTCCTCGCTTATGTTTCTGCACTTGGCACAATGTGTTCCAAGTAAGACTAAGGTTGGATATGGAGCCATCCTGTCCACAGTCTTTGAAAGTTTTAAAGTAGTTTTAAAGGGAAAGTATGGAGGTTTGGAGGAGAAACAAGAAAATGTGATAAATGAGGAAACTTTGATGGGAATTAACTTGGAGGTGGTGAATAGGAAGATTCAGAAAATGGAAAAGAGTAAAGAGAAGAAAGAAACAGGAAAAACAAAAGAAAAGGAAGAGGCTGAGCAGCCTATGAGGAAGAGCAGGATACTGTCAACAAGCTCTGCTCCTCAAACGAGTATGGAGAAGCCAGTTGAGCTGAATACTAATGACAGGGATATGGATGGACAGGTTGCCAAGTTGACTGTTAGGTTTGTGTTGGCTGAAAAGGTAGTGAAAGAATCTGCTAAGAAGATTTAGAGGTTAGAAAAGTCTGTGCAGCAGCAAGACAAGCTTCTAAATGACCAAAAACTGGAGTTTCAGTAGCAGATTGAGAGTCTTGAGGAAAGATTTGACTATTTTCCTGCTAAACAGAAGGAAGATAGCAGACAAATTATGGAGTTCCTGAAGAATTAACTCTGCAACCTTAGTTACCAACCTTAATATAAGCCTAGCTTATTTCACTTTGAAGTCATGAACAATTTCAATTTCTGTTTTAGTTTTTGAACAATTAATTTTGGCTGTAATATTTTTAAATTGTTCAGTAGGATGATAAATCTTTTGGTTTTTAAATAAATAGTTGGAACTTGGCCTGTACTTGTGTCTACTTGTATGTTTTGAACACTTATGCAGGAAAGTGGAACTTGGTTAAGGTAAGTTAGCAGCGCTGCCTTTTGTTTCCCACACTCGATGAATTGCTTGTGGGGCTGTGGCTAGATGCTTAATAAACTTGAAAAATCAGGACTTTTTTATAATGCCAAAAGGGGGAAAAGAAGAAGAAAATTTGGAAGCAAAAGTTGTTATGCGTTCCAGTTGATAAAGTATCAGAAATTTCTTCTGATATGATGCCAAGTAGCTTAGTTTATTTCTTATTTTATTTCTTAGTTTTATTTATGTTCAGCTTTCTTGTTTTCGTATTTTTAGTTGTGTGTTTATCTTTTAGTTTATAAATAAAAAATACAAAAGTACGCCCTCTATTTTGTTTAACTTTTCTCAAGAGTTTGCTTAAGTTTGTCATCATCAAAAAGGGTGAAATTGTTGAAGCTAAAGGTTTTGATGATGAGGAACTTAAACTAAAGCAAACTCTTCTAATAAAGGTTTTCAAGTGTTTGATTAGTTTAGGTGAAGTTGATCGTGGTGATGGAAGAAGTAACTGGAACTAAGAAGTTATGAGGAGATCTTTATACAAAAAGTTAAACAGAAAAGAAGAAGAGTTCTCTAACAAGAACTGAGTTCCTTAACAGGAACGTTCCCTAACAGGAACTTGAAGTCAGCAAGCTAAGGTCCCTGAAGGAACTTAGTCAGGTGGAGCCCTAGTAACCTACCTGTACAGAAGCGCGACGTAACAATTTAATTTAGCTAATGTTTTTATCTTCTAGATTATTGTTAATATGTTAAGTAGGTTAATGCACGAGATTTATTAGAAGCGTGACAGGTTTGCTTGGTAAATAAATTATTAAGGAAAACATAAAAGATAGATTTTAGAAAAGATTTTCTAAAAGGTTTTATTTCTTAAAATCTGTTTGTTAAAAGATATGATTCTTTTTAACAATATCTTTCTATCTTATTTTCCGGAAAAGATTTTCTTCAAATAGAATTTTCATAAAACCGTGTTTTAAAGATAAGTTAAGTTAACTTATTTATCTTTTAGAAAACCTACTTGCTATACAAGTCCTATTTTATAAATAGTAGAGATCGAAATGGTTTAAGGTTTTTGCGAGTTTATGCGTGGAGAAATCCCTGAGCATTAATTGAGTAAGTTTACCAAGCTTCTAACTTGTCATATTAGTTTCGGATTTCGTGCATAGCTTCCCTATCATATAATAGGTGTCATACATTTGTATTGTTGGATTATTTGGGTGAGTTTGTTATCTTTTTACATCGCATACTGGTTGTGTACGCTTCTAGTGTGAAGCTGAGAGTTTTGTACTTAGGCAGTACGAGTGAATCTAAGTGTGGTACTTAGATTGGGTAGGATAGGGTCCTATCGAGTGGCAAGTGTTGAACTTGTGAACAATGGTCTGTGTTTAGTAGGTTGTAAATTTGTGTTTGCCCTATTATAGTGAAGTGGTTTATGTTGAAATCCCTAAG